CATAATGTTAAATTGGACTCACAGGCTTCAACATAGTGTGGCTTCTCTTACATGAGAAACCCAAAATAGAAAGAGCAGAATAAATGATAGCTGATAGGTGATAGGGAGACAGATTCCTCTCAAGTGGGAAGGACAGATCTGCAGGTGGGGGCAGGGAGGCGCAGGAGGAGAGGGGATGACAGAGCATTAGGATGGAGCAGCCCCACACAAGGAGTGTAAACTGCAAACGTGTACTAATAAAAAAAAAAAAAAAGGGAATTGTGTACATGAATGGTAAGTATTATAGGAATTCAGTTAACAAGACTTGTCCGGACATACTAATAAATCATATATAACTCAAAGGGATTAACTAAAAGTGCCTTTAAATTGTGAGTAGAAGCTTTAGAAAATTGGAGGAATGAGAGTTTCATGGGAAAATGATCTCTTTCCAAATGTTTAGTTTCAAGTATTGGCAGAACATACTAAGGTCGATATATGACTTTTAGAAAACTAAACATACAGGGCCCAAAGCAGCATGCTTTGCGTCTGTTTCATTCAGGGTGGTGTTTAAAACCAAGCACATAACTACAGCAGTGACACCAGAGGCATGGGAGAGAGGTGCACTGCCGCCGGACTTAACCTGCAAGGAGGCTGCGATGGGGGTGGGGGGCAGAAGAGTCAGCCGTGTAGACGGGACTCTGCCTGCTGTGTAATGCACAGGGAGTCACTGAAGTTGGGTGGTGGGGACAGATGGAAGGGAGTCCCGGAGCGGCCAGCAGTACTTCCTGCAGGAGAGGGAATTTCCTGATGGTGAAATCGCAGATGCAAGCACCAGGCAACAGGGAAAGGAAAGTCCTCGCTTTTGGAACGCATCTTATAGGCATTAAGGGTAGAGTCATGCTGCAGGAGGCAAGGAAGAGGTCAATGGAGGTGTTCAGCCACGGGTTTGTGTTACACATTGCTGTCCTCTATGGAGTTGCTCAGACGGCAGGTATCAGCATGCAGTTAGTCAAGGTGAAAATTCTACATATTAACTGCTATTTTCAAAATACTGGGGCCGGGGAGATGGCTCAGTGGAATAAGCGCTTCCCTGGCAAGCGCAAGGGTCTGAGTTCAATCCCCGGTTCCGCAAAAAAAAAAAAAAAACAAAAACAAAATACTGATGGAAGTGTTTAGTGCAGTCACCTCAGCCATCCTGTATATATACTTGCATGATTTTCCCTCCTTCCTTTTCCTCTATCTTTTCTCCTTTCTCTCATCTTTGTTGTTTAATCCTCAAGTTCAGTGTCTTTCAAAACTGTGAAACACTTCACAAATTTGTGTGTCATCTTGTGTAACTGTTAATCTGAGCAAAGGATCTGACATTAAAAATAAATAATATAACAACCATTGTTAATCAGCTATTCCTGATTTGAAGATCTATACCGTATATACCCAGATACAGCCTCCCCGTTTTCTGGGACTCTTGCATTGTTTGGCATAGTATGGGGGTAGGCCTCTGTGTCTCCTTGGCATGCCTTGGCCTTGTGGGGCTGCTCTACCCATGCCCTGTGCATTCCTTCTTCCTGAGCACATTTCTCGTAGTTGCCTGAATAGCTGGCCCCCCGCCTCTTTCAGATCTTGACACAGACTTTGCTTTCCCAGTGAGGCCTTCTCTGATTTTTTATTTAAAACTGAATTTTTTCTCCCTGTCCAGTCCATGCCCTCTCCCCAACCTTATCCCTTCCAACTTTTCTTTATAACATTTTCTTCCTCTAACCTATTGCATCTTTGATTAGCTAAATTTGTTTTTCTGTTTTCCTGCTAGAATATAACTCAATGAGTACAAGGTTTCCCCAGTGTAGTTGTCCCTTAGTACCTGTGGGGCACGGGGTCCAGGGCCCCTCACAGATACCACCATCTGTGGGTGCTCAGGTCCTGTGCCAGAAATCTCTACATTACTTAGAATGCCTAAATATAGCATAAATTCTGTGCACAGAGTTACTACATTTTTAGGGAATAATCACCAAACAGAAGCCTGAACATATTCCAAAGAGACTCAGTTTTTTTTTGCCTGATCATTTTTGACCCAGTTGCTGGATTCCGTGGATGTGGAACCTGTGCAGACAGAGAGAGCTGTCGGATGCCTGGCAAATAGTAGGCATTTACTAAGTGTTTGTTGCGGGAATGAATGAATATTATGAGTTTAATATAATATTCTCTTCATCACTAACATCGTTATTAATAAGCATATGGGAGCCTATTAATAGACTCCATAGATTTTCCTCCGCTCAGGGATTGGCAAGCTTTTTCTGTTAAAGAGCCAGCAAGTAAATATTTTTGAGGGCCATGTGGCCACACTGAAGTTGCTCCACTCCGCTGCAGTAGTCCGAGGCAGCGGCAGGCCATCTGTAAGCGAGCGAGTGTGGCTGTGTTCCAGGAGGGCTATTTATGGATGCTGAAACTTGATTTTACATAATTTCCAAAGGCTGCAAAGTATTCATTTTATTTTTTTCTCCAACCATTTAATAACATGGAAACCATTCTTAGTTTATCGGCTAAGGAGATGGGCAGTGGGCCAGTTAGACCCGTAATGTATACTTTGTCAGTGTCTACTTTCATTAGTTTCTTAAACATACCTTAGTCGAAATGTGTTTTTCCATGCTTGGAAGGGAACCACAATGTGAGCTAAACCTCCACAACAGATAATTCAAAAATTCTTCTGTTTAGTTCCAGAAACTTTAATGTTGTTCCATTTTTGTTTTCCTGGGAACTTTGTTTTCATTATGTGTTTGTGATGTTCATATTTAAATGAGTTTGCGTTCCTTCAGCAGAGGCCACATGGCAGCCTTGGGAGGGGTGTAATAGTTGAGCAGCAGAGCTGGTTAGAGCCCACCCAAGTTTAGAAGATTGCCATTATTTACAAGGTGAATAATTCCCATATGGGAGGATTAAAAGTCATCAGCCAAGCCCAATGCCCAGAGGACTGTCACTGTAAATGAGAATTGTGTTACAGTTTTTAACATCATCCATAACACATTTCATGAGTATACTGCAAGTGCTTTTAATAATGTCACTCAGGGTTAATTTTAGCTGTACCACTTTGGTATTCTTTGCTCCTAAAAAGCAAAAAAAAAGAAAAAAACAACAGCAACAAAAAAATCCCCACAAAGACCAAAGAACTCCAAAATCTCAAAACAGAAAAAAAAAAGTCTTATCAAATCAAACTGTGATTTAGATAAGGTATCACATTTTCCTCAGTAAGCAGGAAGAGAAAAATGTTTTTCATTTGCCCAAGTTTTTGCTACTCGTAAGGTTTTTCATGTTCAGTTTTCACAGCAGGGCTGTGGTGCGGAGTGCCGTGGTGACTGTGCGTGTGAAAGAGCTGGCAGTCGGTGGCAGTGGGTCATGTGCCCAGTCAGAGGACGAGGGTTCCTGACCAGAGCTCTGCACGGCTGAGGCAAAGACTCCTTCCTCACTGTTGGCCTCAGCCAGTTCCTTGCTACAGACCCTGCTCACTGCCTCTTCCTTTCTTTTATGACCTATTTATTGATCAAGATGCCCAGAGCCCTTGCTGCTGTCCTTCTGCTAGGCTTACAGCGTGCTGCACTGGACACGGGGGAGCAGGCTGTGGCTTGGTATCTCACCAGCACTGTAGCCATTCCTGTGGCTTTCTGCCTTTGCCATCTCATCTTCTGTGTGATTCTTCTGAGCATGTTCTGCCCTGGTCTGCTAGGAACTGGCCTCCTTCTTTGCTCTGTGACTTTGATCCTTAAAGACCTCACATGATCCAGCAACAGCTAGTGGGACGTCTTGGGTATGTTGGCAAAGCAAGGGAAGAATCTGGCATGACCCCAGTGCTTCCGGACCCCAGGGACTGAGCCTCAGAAGATGACGGGAGCCGGTGTGGAGGGACTAGATTTAGAGGGTTTTGCAGATGTATTTTAGTTGAGATGGTGGTGGAACCTCGTTGGAGATTCAGTTGTGTATCCTACAAAAAAGTAAAATGGTGAAATCAGTTGAATCCAAAATCTGGGACTCCAGCCAAGCAGCAAATTTATAGTCAGAACCAAAGTCCTCGTGTTCCTTTTAAATACTTCTTAGGGATGCAGTTCATACAACTTCATTATGAGAATGGAGCCTTCTCAAGCAATTTTGAAGTTGTATAGAAAAAATTGTTATAAATAGTACCCACAATTTGGAATGATTGAGCATCTTGTGAATTGAGAGTTGCCATATACAAATTCCTCAATGTCTCAATGTGGAAAATATTGTAGGATGTTACTCTTCAGTTATTTCTTTTCTTCACTTTGGTATAAATACAGGACCTTTGATACTTTGTTATTTTAATTACATTTTGTGCCTTTTTATTTGCTTAAAAAAGCCCTGCCACTTACATATTTACAAATATTAGGACATTCCTCTTGGATCTTTTCCCATTCCTGGACCTCCTTCCCCTTTCTGTTACAGTCTCCATCGTCTGGTTGTAGCCCAAAAGCTGTGTACAGGCACACTGGTGTTTCGGTGGAAACAAGAGAAAGAAGAACTTACTATTTCTTGATATTTAAGTGAGGAATAGCACATGGGGTCTTACATATTTTAAATTGGAGGGTCAGAGGCTTGGTCAAGCCCATGCATTTTCACATAAACAACTTAATCCTATCCAATGGTTTAGTCAGAATGAGAAAGCAAATTAATTTAAGTAGAATATGAACAATACATGCCTAAAGGGACTGTTTCACCATCCCAGCCGATGCCTACGTAGGCACGGCTCTGTACACTGCCTTTGAGGAAGGGTCATGCTGACTGGCTGTGGCGGACCCTGCTGGATAGTCCACCTACCAGACCCAGACAGACCCTGAAATGTGTGGTTAAGTTCTCTAAGTACTCCTTTTCCAGTAGTGATGGGGCTTGCAGATCATACCTTTAATTCTCTTGATTCACAGCTTGCTGAGTCCTTGAATAGATCACATTGTTTTACTGTAAATTGTCGGGGTTACAGAAAGTCAAGAGTTCTAATGGACTCCTCTTTTTCCATACAGATGTCCAGAGGGCTTCTTGGGAGAATATTGTCAACATCGAGATCCCTGTGAGAAGACCCGCTGCCAGAATGGAGGGACCTGCGTGGCGCAGGCCATGCTGGGGAGAGCTACCTGCCGGTGCGCCCCAGGCTTCACCGGGGAGGACTGCCAGTACTCGACCTCTCACCCCTGCTTTGTGACTCCTCCCTGCCAGAATGGAGGCACCTGCCACATGCTCAGCCGGGATACCTATGAGTGTACCTGCCCAGTTGGGTTTACAGGTAACAGAGGGGACCCTCACCGTGCTTTGCCCTCTCAGCAGCTATCTTTGTCTTGAATCTTTAGGTTTTAGGGTTTGGTTTGAAAGGGTCCTCCAACTCTGTTGCACATTTAGCGTTATGATAAAGAATGAGAATATTCTGGATGCTGCCCACAGGCTCCTTTTAAGAGTTTTAAGAAGCCGAGAAGGAGAGAAAAACAGAGAAATACCTGGATATACTTGAAAACTTACAAGTGTATACTATGTGTGTTTGACCTCAGGACTAGAGGTCAGACTTAATCCACTAAAGGAAATACACGGTCACTAGGAGAAAAGGCTGTTGATGCTGCTGATTTTTCACTTCTTTAAAATCGTCTTGAGCTACTGAGAGCATGCTGGCTTTACTGGCTTTCTGAACTCTTGCTTGTTCCTCTTTTTCTCTCCAGTGCCTTCTCCTTATCCACTAAATGTTTGTGTTCTCTGGAACACTTTTGAGCACTGTCCCTGTTCTCCCTGGGGAATCTGGCCGTCCTCAGTTGCTTCGTTGTCTCCACCGGGTGCCGACGCCTCTCACAGTCATGCCTTTAGCAGTGCCCTCGCCAGACGCTCAGGCTCACCCTTCTGACTGCCTCTTGCATGCTCTCCTCAGGGCTTCTGTAAGCACCTCAGATACAGCATGCTGATTAAGTGAGGGACCCCTGTGGGCACTTCATGCACCCCGCTGGAGCTGCTCTTCCCTGTCCTCACCCGCTGCAGCATCTGTTGTTAGTCCTGTCTCTAAATTACGTGCTATCTGTCCATTCCTCTCCACTTCCTCTGCCTGTTGTGTAGCTGGGGACACCAGTACATTTCACCTGGATTCCTGAATTAGCTTCTTGGCTTCTTAGGATTGTCCTCTGTCTCCCTCACCTGTAATATTGTCACATCATTAGTTATAAATGCAAATCTTGTAACATACTCACTTGCTTATGGTGTCTCATAACATTTCCTCGTCCACAGAATAAATTGTGACCTCTCTTATTTGGCTTCTGTGGCCCATCAGAATCTAGACCGTGGTGTGCCTGTGGCCTCGCTTCTGCACAGTCTGATCACGCTGACGTTCATCATTTCCTGACAGTGTCAGTCTTCCTGTTGCTTACGTGTAGCTGCCTGAGCCTTTGCCTGTAATTGATGCTTACCCAGTGTTTCTGTAAAACTGTCTCAGTGACTTCTTTGTGATTCCTTGAGGCAGTTGGTGGCTAGGTTTGACTATTTTTATGTCATAGTTTATTGTAATTAATTTTTATGTGTCTCTTGTGAATAGATTTGGGGTTCTTCAGAGGTAGGGCCAAACTTTGCTCAGAATGAACCATTGGTGTTTATTAAATTTGGTGAGAAAAGGAGAACCATTCTCTGTTTTGTCCTGTTTTAAATACTAATTGGTTCTGTATAACAATAAGCAGAAAATGAAAACTACACCATAAAGTAGACTGGATTTTAGCACATTTGTTCTATTTTTCATAAGAGCTGCTGGTGGGGATAAAGGGCAGCCAGAATGATGACTTGTCTCCACCTTGACCACGACAGCATTGATGATGTGGGTGGCCAGTGAGGTTTGGGGCTATGAAGAACTTCTTGCTGATTGTCTGTTTTATTTTTGTAGTGCTGGGGATTGAGCCCAGGACCTTTGGACTGAGCTATACCCCCAGCACTTTTTTTTTTTTTTTCCTTTCCTTATTTTGAGACAAGATCTGGCTAAGTCACAGATTGTCCAAACTGGGCTCTAACTTGTGATCCTCCTGCCTCAACTTCCTAGAGTTCTGGCATTACAGGTATTTGAGTTGTTTTGCTGCTGTAGGGCATAGGGGAGAGCATTTCCATTTACAACACTTTAATCCTGATTAGAAGAATTAGAAAGCAAAAATGCCTTCTTTATAATTAAAACGTCGCTTAGCAGTGGGCCCCAACTCAGAACTTCTACTTTTACTATTATAAAAACCTCTTGAGGGTCTGCAGCGTTCTGGTCATTCTCATACATATTTGTCACTTGACCTGTCATATTGGGAATTGTGGCAGTCAAGTTCATCCTTTTGATTTTGGTGAGAGCTCTTTACCTCACCCAGTCAAAGCTGTTAGTGTGTCACCTCTCACAGATGCAGCAGAGGTAGTGAGCCAGTGTTTCGCGTCATGTATTGGGAAACCAAGTTCAGGAGCCTCTCTGCTTTAGTAGTGGGCAGGCGCTCTGATAACCCAGGGCTGTCCGAAGGAAGTGTTTGTGTCTCTTTGCCATTGTAAGTAACTACCTCTCAGTAGAAGGATGGAAAGGAGGACGAATGGTAGTTCCTTCATTTTCTCCCTGCTCAGCACTGGGCTGCTGTGCTCTGTCCAAGTTTTTTGCATCATTCCCTTTTGCTGTCCCATTTCTTGACAAGCAAAGAGCATTTCTTTCTGTCTTGTATGTCGTGTCTTTTAGCAAAGCAATCCTGTCTCTCAGTTGCTTTTCTGGGGGCTCAAGATTAGGACAACCAATTGGAATATTAACACATTCAGAGTTTTCATCTCTAGTTTAAAAAAAAAAAAAAGACTTAGGTATTCAAAACAGAGTGACACGTGTGCATCAGATTTACTGGACACATGGCATAGTTCTCCGTTGTTCTCTCTCAAAGACTCTGTTCTGCTTCCCATGGACTCGTAGCTTAGGACTCAGCATCATGGTCACCTGCCGCTGCTGGTGCCTTTCTGCTCCGGGAAGCCCACCAGTTATCTTTCAGGACCTCTGCTCTCAAGACATCTTTTATTTTGATATACCGGGAATCAGAGATCCACCACCATCTCCAAATGCATGAAGGTGTATCATAGCAAGATTATAGTTACCGATGTGGCCCAGAGTATGTGTGGGCTATATTTAAAGAACATAGATGTAGTATTGGCTTGTTTCTCCCTGCTAAGAGGACTAGTGAGTAACTATCCATTGCGGAATGGATCAGTACACTTCATTCCTTCAACAGACATGGTGCACACATGCCGTGGGGCAGTCAGTGCCTGTGGGAGTGGCAGGATGAGAGAACACTTTGGGGATGTGTGTGTCAGAGGGCATTAAGGACGGCTTCACAGAAGCGGTGACTGCTGAGTAGAGTTGTCCAGAGAAGCGAGAGTTCAATAGGTGAACGAAAAGGGAGTTGGCCTTCCAAAAGGAGGAGCAGCATGTGCAAAGACAGGGAGGTGTTGGAGAGCAGGTGCACCCGGGCTCTGAGCCAGGACCCTTGACCGGGCTTCCCGAGTAGCCTGTTGAGTCTTCTGTTGGCCATCTGCTGAAGCTTTGAGCCTCACCTACGGACCTTGAAGCGTTTTCTGGAAAGTGCCTTGTGTCAGATGATCCTGAAGGGGCTCTACTTTGTCCTTGTGTAAAATTAAGAAGCCTGGGGATCTCCATGTGAGGTTTCTTGGTACCTACCACCTTTTGTGGGGGAGAGAGATGGGGTGTTGCGGGTGAGGGTGTCTGCTCTTTCTCTCTTGAGCAGGACTGAGTTGTGTTATCCTTCTTGTAGGGAAGCTCTGCCAGTGGACTGATGCCTGCCTGTCTCACCCCTGTGCTAATGGAAGTACCTGCACCACTGTGGCCAGCCAGTTCTCCTGCAAATGCCTCGCCGGCTTTACAGGGCAGAAGTGTGACACTGATATCAATGAGTGTGACATTCCAGGCCGGTGCCAGAATGGGGGCACGTGCCTCAACCTGCCCGGGTCCTACCAGTGCCAGTGCCCCCAGGGCTTCACAGGCCAGCACTGTGACAGCCCCTATGTGCCCTGTGCACCCTCCCCCTGTGTCAATGGAGGCACTTGCCGGCAGACTGGTGACTTCACTTTCGAGTGTAGCTGCCTTCCAGGTAAGGAGTTCTCCACGATTCTGGGAACCAGGGACAACGCAGTCGCGGGAGGAGGGTGGATGGCAGTGAGTGTGGCTCAGAGGCTCCTTTGGGAAGTCCCCTTAGAAAGAGGGAAAAGGGAAGTGAGAATTCTGCGTGGGGTGGGTGGCTCGCGAGGGAGGAGTTTTATGGGCCCGCTGCACTTCATAAACTAAGCGGGAGCTTACTTAGCAGTCAGGGTTTATGATGATGAGCGGCTAGGAAATTGTTTATTGTCCCTTTTGGAGAGATGGTGAGAAGAAATAGGAGAGATAGGGCCCTGGGAAACTGACAGCGAAATCTGGAATGGAAAAGAACATCATGAGAACTAGGCACTGGTAAGTATATACGTGTGATTAATAGAGCGCTTTAAACTAATTGACCCTAAGTAGTCCATCAGCTAGCTGTTCCTTGTGCTTTTGCCTCTGAGGGATTAACTGTTGTTTTTCTGTCCACTTAAATACATCTGTCCACCTTTTTGCTAACTCGTTCAGGACAGGGTCTCCCTGTGTAGTTTTGCGTGGCCTTTTTGAGCTTACTGTGTAGTCCAGGCTGGTTGCACAGTCTCTTCTCCTGACTCAGCCTTGGTGCTGGGATTACAGGCGCTTATCGCACTTTCAACCCCATCCACCCTTTGGGGATGTTTTTCCCCTAGGAGACTGGCCTTTGGAATTCTCTCCCATGGATCTTCCCCGAGTTTGCGGTAACCCTTCTCTCAATGGGAGCAGGAGAGCTTGCAGCTTGGGAGGGAGGGTACTCCATTAGTCAGTATTGGGGGACTTTCTGATGGGCCCAGGGCGGAGGACTTATGAGAGATGACGCGTGACGCAGTGCTTTGTCATGCTCTTGGCTGGTGCCCCGGAGCACTGAGGAAACCTGAGATGGCATCAGGCAGAGGAGCAGAGTCTGGGACCTCAGCGCTTGGTTTTCCATAGCGGGGGAAAGGAGCAAGACCCGCCAGCTCTCTTGAGTCCCTATAAAGTGACGGGGAGGTTGAAATCCAAGAATTTTGATTGGAAACAGAGCACAAACAGCTGGAGCAAATGAATTACTAAGCAACAAATCTCTTGTTTTTATACAAATATCCTGAGTGCAGAAACAAAAGAAGGAAAACCGTGTGTGTGTGTGTGTGTGTGTGTGTGTGTGTGTGTAGGTGCTATGCTAAATAGGCATAATTGCCTTAATCCAGAGATTTCTCTAGCCACTCATTTGGAGTGAGAATTTTAAATTCTGGTGGTTCACATATAACTGGTTTGTGTTTTATCTTCTAGGGATTAAAGGTTATAGGTTGGTCCTCAGTAAAAATAAACAATTGGTAATTTATTCATTTTATTTGGTAAAAGTGTATTGACTGTCACATTCTGGATACCGTGTCGTGTGACCAGGATGCGGCAATGCAGGACACTGCTAGAAATCTAAATAAAAACCACATCACAAGAGCCTGCTATTATACTGCTTTTATTTTTCGATAAAGAATAGATAATGCTGTTACTGTTTATTAACTAAAGATACTAAATGTTGATTGGCATAATAGTACGATCATCCACATTTCCTTGTAAAAGGAGTAACTAGGAGATAGGTTTTTCCTCTTGAATTTGTTTGCTTTTAGGGTTGGAGATCGAAAAAGACTATAAACAGATTAATTTTGTAAATATTTTAGTATCGCCAACATCTTAGTGGTCTGATGCTGTGCGGGTGTAAGTGGCTAGTCATTGGGGTTACTGTGATTTATGATTGAAGAGGCTATTTGCCATTTACAGTTCGAAGAAAATTACTTTTGATAGTGGCCCAGAACAGGAGGTTAATTTGGCAGCAAGATATTGACGGGAAGTTAGAGAAGTCAATAAAGGAAGTCTTCAGCTGGGAGAGAGTGATTATTCACTCTCATTGTTTCTGCATTATTATCCCTTAGCCGTGATAAGCACCTCAGGGAATTCTGAGAGTGTGTCCAGGAAAGGGTTGTCAAATGAGCATAGTGCTCCCTCCTTGAGAAAGGAAATAACCAGGGATTCCACAGCCAGGAGGCTGCCAGGGGTGGCAGGAGTGAGTAGGATTTTGGCTCTCTTAGGCTGTTATGTAAAACAAGACAGTATTTCTACTCGCTAGTAGGGGATGTGTGTGTGACAGGGAGGAGTACAAGATTGGGAAAGAGAAAACTTTATTGAGTGCCTTTCATGAGCCAGGTACTTCCATAGATTCAGTACACAAACTCCTTGGGGTTAGGTCTGATTTTTTTAATTTTATTTATTTTTTTGAGTTTTCTCACATGACTAATTGAAGTTCTGTGATGTTAGAGTGAGCTCCCCTAAAAGGCACAATGCAAGCCTGAGCTTTGTGAATCTTTTGCGTTGTGCTGTTTCTCAGCTTCCTGCAGGCCCTGTGAAGATGTGCAACTTTCTGTTAAATGTTGCTTGGTTAAAAATTATGAATGATCACATTTTCAAAGACAGTGAGATTAAAAACTCTTAAAAGTATTTACTTGGTTTTCACATAGGGATATAGTGCCTGGAGGGGATTTTTTTTTTTTTTTTAAGTTCTTTAAATAGTGTAGTGCCCTTTTTCTTGCTCCTTCTTTAATTGTTCTCCACACTACTTAAAGTGATAATCACCCTCTCCATGTGAATAACAGCCTTTTTTGAAGAGAATTATTATTGCAGGTCTTAATATGGGGAAACCAAGTCAGGAGGCAAAGCAGCTTGTCAAGATATTTTGCAACCCCAGAATGGCCGCTTCCCACCGCACTTCAGGTCTCCTCACGTCTAATTAAGGCATGCCCTGGCCACCCCGTGTAAACTTGTAACCGTCCTCCCTCCCTCCTAATCACTGATCCTGGTCTGTTTTTTGTTTTCTTTTTCTATGACAATTACCTTCTTACTGTACAATTTGTACTATATAATTTACTTCATTATGCCTATTGTTTGTTCTTTCCATTTCTACTGCCTCTTCTCCTCTGCAGAATGAAAGTTCAGGTCCTCATTGTGTTTATTTATGTCTCTCAAACACCTGAAAACAGTGCTTGGTACATGGGAGAGGCTCACAAATACCTGTTAGCTGCTTGTGTTAGTATAGCGCTGAGTTGTAGGATGGAGACCCTAACTTTGCCCTTCCCGCGGCTGCGCATCCCAGACTTGATTTGGTTTCTCATTTTGTTCTGTCTTTTCAACACTGTGATTGTTGTTTTTTTTTTTTTTTTGCAGAACCAGGGATTGAACTCAGATCCTTGCGTTTGCCAGTCAAGCGCTTATCCTACTGAGCCATCTCCCCGGCCCCCACTGTGATTGTTTTTAAACGGTGAAGTTATAACCCTTTCCTGCAGAGGGTAGAGGAGTCACTATGAATTGATTTTAGTGCTATTGTAGGATTCATGGAGAAAGATTTAAAACAGCGGAAGAGAAAGGGAAAAAAGTACCTTCAAGATGGAACTAATGGAATGGAATCAAGCAACTGCATTCCATTGTCTACTTGCGTCGGCAGTGTTAATAATCTAGGCCTGTCATGAACTTCCATCACGTGAAGTCCTGAGGACGGCACCAGCCACAGTGATTTTAGCTTTAAGAGCAAAATAATGCATGAAAATGAATTGTTGAATCATTGAACCCCTGTTTTGGGGTTCGGGCCTACAAATGCGAGAGAATGGGCTAGGCTCATTTTTGTGGATATTTTATTTTATTTTGTGGAACTGGGGATTGAACTCAGGCCCTTGCGCTCGCCAGGGAAGCACTTATTTTACTGAGCCATCTCCCCAGCCCCAATTTTGTGGATATTTTAATAAATAGCCCAAGTAACCAGAAAATCTAGGGCTGGTGGGTTTTTTTTTTTTTTTTCCCTTCTCCATTTATGTATTTGATACAGGGTCTCATTATGCAGCTTGGACTCATAGTGATCCTCCTGTTTTCAGCCTCCCCAGGGCTGGGATTACAGGCGTGTGCTACCACACCCAGACCCGGTTGCCAGCTCAGTGAGGGGCCAGCGTGGCACGTGGGACCAGGGATTGCACTTGCCAAAGTGGTCCCTGCACTTGCCAAAGTGGGCGCTTAGTCCACTGAGCTATCTTGCCAGCCCTGTAGGGCTGTTTTGAATCTACTGGCCATCCCTTGTGAATTCACATTTGGGTTGGACAGTCCCCAATATTCTTTTCCTCTTTCTTCCTCTCCTGCACCTCTAGTCTTTAGATTGCTGGTTTGGACTTAATAGGAAGCTGTGTGGTCTGTCCTCTCCTCCTGAAGAAGGCTCGCCCTTCGCAGCTGCTCTGACCTGTTTTCTGTCACATCCCTGCACATTACTGTTTGTGCACATCGCACAGTGTTTGTATCTGTTGTTTTCTGTTGTTGCTGACTTTATGAACTATTAGAATGAAATCGTTTGGCATTTTCGTACTTGGGAGCATGTGATGCTTTCCGGGCGATTATACTAATCCTGTCTTGGCAGGTTTGACTTCTTCAGGGGAGGGGAGTGGGCCTGTATCTTTTTGGCTTTGTCCAGTTCCGGGTACTCTCCCTTTTTCATCTGTCATGGAAGCTTTCCTGAGGATTTCAGCCTGGCTCACGGCGCCCTCCTTATGTCATCTCTTCCCTTTCTCCTCTTCTCCGCTCCTTTCCACCCTCCCACCCTCTAGGTGCCTGCTCTTTGGAGAAACGTTGCTGTCTGGGTGGGATGTCAAGTTCAAAAGGCTTTCATGACTCCCTGTCCTCCTCGCCATCGTGAATCACTGCAGTGGCCCGTGCATCTGTAACAGCCCAGTCTTAAAACGTCCCTTCTAAGTTTAATTTCTCTTCTTTTGGCCTTTTAAGGATGCGGCTTGGCTTTGGGCAGTAGGCTCCTTTCAGTGTGGCCATGTGAGTCCTTCTGTGAGTCTGCTACACCCACCCCACCCACGAGTCTGGAGTGTGTCTGTTTCCCTTTCCTCCAAAACTGAGAGACTGTTCTTAAGAAGGGACTGCACTGGAACTTACAGCGTCTCCCCGCTTTGGGTAGATTGTTTCTTAAAAGAATTTGTTAGCTTTTCCCAAAAAGGGCTCTGTAAATCTATTTTTAAAGTATAAATCCTGTCTGAACTTTAGAGCAGAGACAAATTGGCTTGAGGTTTCTTGGACATGGGAACTTTTGACCTAAAGTCCATTTTTCAGATTGTTGAAAGAAAACTTTGGGGTCTCAGAAAATGTGCTCAAACTGGGTGAAATTTCTGGTTCAGTGCTGATTCTTGCCCACACTGGCCCTGTGACCAAGGGCATGCCAGCTATGTGTCCCTCAACTTCTGTAACAGATTAGGATTAGAACAGAGAACTTCCACTGGGTGCTTCAGTCCCAGCGATACATAACAGTATTAGTTAATATTTTAATTACTTTCTCCTTGAAGTTACCACTTAGAGATATAATTCTCACGCCAGATGGTTTGCTCTTGTATACAATTCAGCGACTTAATTTGTTCAGAGATATGTGTAGCCATGACTTCAGTCAATTTTAGAATATTTTTGTGCCCCAAAGGAAACCCATGTAACTACTATCAGTTGCTGCTCAGCGCTTCTTAATTTCTTCTCTGCTCTTGGCAATCATTAATCTACTTTCTGTCCCTGTTTGCCCATCTTAGGCAGCTTATAAAAGGAAACAGCAGCGCGTAGTCAGTCGTGACCGGCTGCCTTCACTCAGTGTAATGTATCAATACAGGACTTCATTCTTGCTCAAGGCTGAATAGCATTCAGTTGTGTAGGCTCCACATTTTATCCGCTCATCAATTCATCAACATTTTAGCAATTACGAGTAATGTTTTTATGAATGTTCTTGTGTAAGTGTTGTGGGCATGCAGGTTTTCGTTTTCCTGTGGTGAGTCCCGAGGAGTGGAACTGCTGAGTCGGAGAGAACCTCTCAATACTTGCCAGACCCAGACGGTGTGTATTGTGAAGCGGTTGTGTACTCTTACACTCTAGCCCACAATCCCTGAGGCTCCATTTTCCCCGACTTTGTCAACACTTATTGTTGTCTGTCTTTTTGGTTCCAGCAGTTCTAATGGATGTGAAGCAGTTGTTTGGTTTGTGTTTCTCTGATGCCTGGTGAAGTCAACAATTCTGTACTTTATGTTCATTTGTGCGTCTTCTTTGGAGACCACGTCTTCAGACCCTTTGACTGGGTTATTTGTGTGTTTTAATATGCTGTGAGAATTCTTTTACACTGTAGCTGTAAGTCTCTTATCAGATGTATGCTTTGCCAGTATGTTCTTCCATTCTGTGGGCTGTCCCTTCACTTTCTTGGTAGTATTCTTTTAAGTCTAAATGTTTTTAATCTGATGAAGTCCAGTTTACCCACTTTTTTATTTTGTTGCTTTTGCTTTTGACCATATTTAAGAAAGTTTTCCTTCACAAAAGTGAGAAAGATAAAATCTTTTCCTTTTTGTTCTGATAGTTTTATGTTTTAGCTTTTCTGTTTAGGTCTGTGGTCTGTTTTGAGATAATTTTTATGTGTGAGGAGGGGTCCAACTTCAGACTTCTGCATGTGGACTTTCAGCATGGTCTGTTAAGTGCTTTTTGTGTGTAACTCACTTAAGCTTACAGCAGCTCTTGGAGTTAGGTCCTGTCCATCCCTCAAGGAAGAAAGAAGTTGTAAGTACTGTGCTGAGGTTCACTCAGTTGCTTTGTGGCAAGGCCAAGAGGTGTGCCTCAGCAGTTTGGCTTCAGAGCCCTTCTAACCACAAATTAACTCTCACCCGCTGCCTTCTTACTGCCCCCCTATTGACAGTAAAAAACTACCTTGAAATACCAATTGGCCACTTGACGTTTTATTTCTTATTTCTTGTGGTTGTGTTGAAATGCGTCTTGCTTTCTTCATTTGTCTGTGGTTGGTGAATTCAGTTATTTGTAACATTGACTGATACAAAGCCTGGGTCCTGGTTCCTATTCCTTATAACTCAAGCTGCCAGGACTTTATCAACTCCTACAACTTAGTCAGCCATATTTTGTCCTGCCAGAGAGGTGAGTTATGGAGAGGATGACCAACAGACGTTGTAGACTCTCCACCAGACCACACAGGTTCTACTAAAATGCTATCTTGGACTTATGTCTCCACGAAGAGCACTGGACCAAGAACACTGACCTTGCATCACATTTAATGACTGCTCTGTGGCAGAGGTGTCACTTTGGTCTCACTTTATCATAAGTACAGATGGGCTTAAGTAGTTCAGCATTTTGTGATTCAGCCCATTTGTATGACTTTCGTATGATTAAGCAGCAATGTGAGTAACATAAATTTTTAAAATCTGAACATATGTTTCCTTAATCTTTCCTGGACTTGCTTAGTGATTCATCTGCTTGAATGGACTAAATAATAAGTAACTGGAGAAATACAGTTTTCTCCATCGAGATTGCAAATGTTCCTGTCTTTGTGAAGTATTTTCTTTCATTTCTGGGGGATAGCTTTGGCCGTTCATTTTAAACTCATTTCTGTAACTACCGCTGTATTCAGAGAAACCAGCCTTGCTCGAGTAAGAGCTAAGTAGCTGTAAGGAGGCCAGTAGCTGGCGGTAAGGAAGGAGCAGAACAAGTGCGATCGCTGCCCGCCCTGCTCACCAGGCTGTGAATTTCATGAAAGCAGGGACTCTGCCTCTTACATCCTGCGACCCCTTCATGTCTAGTGTAAGACCCGGGAAATAGCTCGAGAGAGAATTGCCTTGAGAGTCTTTTGAGGAGTCCAAATATCTAGTCGTATTGTGATGTATTGTATTGTATTTATTTTTAACTTTTATTTTTTAAAAAAAACCCACAGAAAACCAAAATCCAAAAATAATATGCTAGGAGGGTAACAGTTGTTAGTACATTGCATATTGTTATCTTTCAATTACTCAGAGTCATGCTGTATTTTAGATAGGAGAATATTACTTGAATATTCTCTCCGCTTAAAGTTGGTAGCCTTCTATTTATTAGCTCAAGGATTTGGTACCAAAAAAAAAAAAAAAAAGGAAAGGAAAGGAAAAAAGCCAGATGTAAAAACTACAGAGAATGAGCACTGAGGATGAGGTTTGGTGTGTTAAGTTTTATTTTTCACAAAAGAGAAAAATCAGAAGAAAGGAAGTAAAGCTATGAATGTAACATTCATTGAGAGATGAACGTAAATAATTGGAGGTAGTAGGAAGTAATTAGTAACCATGGCACCCTATATGAAGGTGACTTTTACTATTTGTATGATTATTTGCGGTGTGGTGCCTAACGACAGTGTGGAAGGGCAGGCTGAGCAAGTGGAGTCCGCCTTATTCTATAGCTGGAGAGGCCAACTCAGAGTTTGTAATTTACTGTGTATTAAATGGCTGTAGGTTGTGAGCCTGGGACTTGGCCCATATCAATAGTGAGAATTTTAGTATTTTTTCTATGCCTTCCTCAGTCCCTACCTTCAGAGGCCCCAAGCTATCTCTCCTCCTCTCAAAGTGGAGCTTAAAGTTTGTTCCTTACCAGTAGTCTGGTAAGCAGTGGGAAAAATCTTTTTTTTTTTTTTTTTTTTAATTTTTTAAAATTAATTAATTAATTTATTTATTTATTTATTGGCAGAACCGGGGATTGAACTCAGGCCCTTGTGCTTGCCAGGGAAGCACTTATTCTACTGAGCCGTCTCCCTGGCCCCAGTACCTTGTTTTTTAGAACCAGTACTCATTTGTCCCAAGTAGATCTTTATCTTCCCCAGGATTTTATTCCATGGAAACATGTTGAAGCACTTGTGAGCTGACTGTGTGGAGGCATGTCACTGGTATAGTGAGTCCCTTTCACTCTTTGGCTATACTTGATGCCAGAGGACATGAAGGATTGTGGAGGTCTTCATAGAGTGAGATCAGCGTGGAGCAGCTGCTGGGTGGAACTGAAATGCCGTCCAGCGGGAGGCGACACGACGTTTCTGTTTGAGAATTTATCACTTCCTTTTGTTCTTCCTCTCCAGGTTTTGAAGGGAGCACCTGTGAGCGGAATATTGATGACTGCCCCAACCACAAATGTCAGAACGGAGGGGTTTGTGTGGATGGTGTCAACACTTACAACTGCCGCTGCCCCCCTCAGTGGACAGGTGCGTATGTGGCTGGCCCATGAACAGGATGTGGATGGCTACGCAGCAGAGACTGGTATTAAAGTGGGCATTTTGTACAAATTTTCCTGCAGCCGCTTTGAGTGTAGACTAGTGTGAACGGGGTGCAGGTGTTCGTGCTAGCTCTTTGGTGGGTGCAGTGCTAGCCCCTTGTGTTTTCTGTGTTTGTGTAGACATGTTTTCACAGTGGGGTTGGGTGACTGCTCTGAGCCCAGCACCCGTGCTGTGACAGGAGAGAGGAACATTGATCAACTTAAGGCTTATTATCTGGGAAGAGCAGCACATTACTTAGAGTATAGTAATTACTTAATAAATACTTTAGAGGGAAAAGAACAAGTGTGAATGCCAAAATAAATTGTATGCACCACAAGAGTTCCAATCATAGGTTATTCATGGAGCAATACTTGCCCCATCTTATTTTTTATTGTCAGCCCTCATTGCTAGCAAGGGGTTGGGCAGTTATGGTTGACATTTCTTATTACCCTCACTGCATTTCTGCTTTTTCCCCCCCTTGTATCCTTTTTTCACACTGTGCTAAAATAGGCTTTTCTGCTTCTGACATCTGAAGAGCACATGTGTTTAGGTTTACAACCTCTTAGAAGTTTCTTATGTTGTGTTCGGTTTTTCATTTATTTTTGAAAGTCAAGGGATTTTAAACAGACATTTAGTTCTAATTTTTGTTCATAGGATCTGTTTATCTGTCTCCAGAAAGTGGAAACTATTAAGAACTGGCTAAGAGATTAAGAACTGAGCCTTATGGAAAGACGTCCATTGACTTGATTAGAGGCCCAAGGCGTGCGTGGTGCCAGGGGCACCGCAGCAGCCAGAAGCCAGCAGCGGGGATGTCTCCTCAGAGGCGTCTTGCTGCTGAGTCACAGCCGGTCCTACCTAATGGTCTTTAGCATCTTAGAATTGCCTCCCTAGGGGCCGGGGAGAATGCTCAGTGGAATGGGCGCTTCCCTGGCAAGCGCAAGGGCCCAAGTTTAATCTCTGGATCCGCCACACACATAAAAAAAGAGAATTGCTTCCCTTTGTAGCTTCTAATTATTTAGAGTACTCTAATGGTATAGACGATGAATAGGGAAAACTAGAAAGGATTTCTAACTGAAGTAATATGATTTTCTTCATGAGCCCACGTTTCTGCTTTTAATCCCCAAACTATTGGTTTTGATTTTTTTCTCATAGGGTTTCCCTACTCCTGAACTTCCCTTAGGATTTTTTTTTTTTGTAATGACCTGGTCCAAGACTTTACTCCTATCCCTCAGTGCCTTTTATTGTGTGCTCCCTTGTCCTGACCCATCCCCCCAAATTTCTGTGGAAGATTTTTCAGAGCCCCCCCCCCCCACTTTAAAAAACTGCTGTAGGCTGGGCCTAGTGGTACACAGCTGTAATCTCAGTGCTGCAGAGGCTGAGGCAGGAGAGTGGCTGCAAGTTTGAGGCCAGCCTGAGCTACATAGCAAGACCCTGTCTCAAAAGCAAAACAACAGAACCACAAAAAATAAAACTACTGTAAAGTTACTTCGGTGGCAAGCAGTTACTGGGAGACCAGAATTTTTTCTCTTTCTAATGATACTCACGGAGGCCTTAGACCGGTTGAGATACTTGCTGGGAACTTGCCTTGATTCCTATACCCTGCTTGCCTGTAGGAGAGTGACTGTGCGGTACTGAGCCTTCTGATGCTGGTGAGGATTAAATAGTTTTAATTTCATCTTGATATGATGTTTGCTTTTCTGCTTTGATATTAATTAGGAAGGTCGGATTTAGGAGGAAACTTTCCTGGTGATATACTATTTTATTCACATTTCTTACCCCAGGATGTTTAGTGTAAGTACCTCTTTTCTGTCAAACTGTTGTAAGACTTTCCTTTCTTGGTGGGTTTTATGCCTAGAAAGGATGAAGATGGAGAATGGCTAAGTTCCATGTGGTGGCTTGTTTCTTTCCATCTCCTGGCTGGCCTTCAGAGGAAGGCCTCACTGGTTTCCCACCGCAGGTTTCCTTCCCCTTTTTCTTTGATTCTTTGATTTTCAACTAGAAGACTTGTTTTCTGCCCTGCTGATCATCAACAGCATGAAAACCCAGGTCCTTCCTCTGTTCTCGAAGCTCTGTCTTCTCCCCTAGTCTGCTCCTGCATCCTGCTGGTAGAGCTGCGCTGAGCTCTGTTTCGGCGGCTTATTTCACACCCTCTGTCTTCATCCATACATTGCTTTGCTCCACATTTCTCCAGTCCTCTCCCTGTTTCCACCTTGTTTTTGCCTGCCTGAGTCTATGAGGTAGTTTCCTAGCTACCTGGATCTCGGTCCAGGCTCAGCTGAGTGTTTTCTGCCGAGGTGCATATGTATTGACATTATCAGATGCTTGATGAGCTGGAGGTATGGAGTTATGGGGCAGTTGAACTGTTTGCGATGGGTCTGCTAGCATTCTTTACAGACCCAGAAGAGCTCTTTTTCATCACACCTGCCCCTATTCTGAAGCGAGGAATAGAAAGACATTTGTATCTTAGGGTTCCTCTTTCAATTGAAACAAGAGTTCTGAATTCAGGTTAGTATATTCTACTTTATATAAACTGTGGAAATCAAGAGACCCAGGGTATAAGAATTAAATAATGTTTATTCTTTCTCTCTCTCTCTTTTTTTTTTTTTTTTTTTTTGGGAGAACTGGGGATTGAACTCAGGCCCTTGAGCTTGCCAGGCAAGCGCTTATTCTACTAAGACACTTCCCCGGCCCCTAAAATAATGTTTATTCTCAAATGTGTACTTAATTACATTTTTATTTTGTGTAATGCTTGTAATAACTGTATTGGAAGTAGAATTTACTAAATATCCTTTTGATAAATGCTGATGCCTATTCATAAGGGATAAATAATTTGCTCAATGCAAATAGTGATCAGCTTACTGTTTGAGTGTGGGCCTGTTGAGTTCTAAATCTGCGCTCACATCCATAGTCTTCTTGCTGTATCAAATTGATTCTTTTTTATTTTTAACTACTTCCCTAATAGGTTGAAGGTTTAATTTATACTTTTGTTATGCAAGGATTTGGTGATTTAGTTTTTCTGTTTTTCCCCATTTAGAAATTTAGCTGGTTACTCTGAGGTTAGAAGCTCACATAATGTAAATGTTCTATATTAAGGTCAGTGTGCTTTTTTTCACTATACCAAAGAGCCTTGTTTCAGTTTTGTTCAGCATTCCCTTTGCAATTTCCAGCTGTAGAGTTGAAGCAGGAACTGTTTGGTATGGCTTTTGACAAACTAGAAAAAGCAGAGTGATACTCAGCTAGTAGGAAAAGAAACAAAGTTGTTAGCCATTTGAAAAAGAATGGATGAGGTGATGTGGCTAAAAAAAAAAAAAAAAAAGGTTTTAATTTTAAATAAATGGAAATGTGGGAATTTGTTATATTTTGATGAGAAGAGCCTGATGAGTAATTTTGTTTTGTGGGTGCATACACAGAAAAAGCTTGGTCTTTTAAGTAAGCTCTAGACTTCCAGATGAGTGGAACTTTTTTTTAGCTCTAATCATGGTTAAACTTGGAGTAAATGAATTTCTTGCTCTCAGAAGGTTTTATTTGCTGTACGTGAAAATAGTATGTCTTACCTTCTTGAAGTCTTGTGAGAATCAGTGGTCAGTAGAATGCTTTTTATTGTTTTCTTTTATTCAGCAAACAACAATCAAGCTAAACAATATAGTTACATCTTGCTGTTGACTATCTTAAGTGTATCATTCTGTAACTACGAAATGCCTGACTTTGAAGATTTAATATGAAAAAAAATACAATATCTTAATAATGCTTAACTATTGATTAGGTGCTAAAGTTATGATGTTTTTAGATAACATTGAGCTAAATGAAATATATTAAAATCAATTTCATATATTCCTTTTCATTCCTACAGTGGCCACTGGGAAATTCAGGATTGCATCTGTGTCTCTCCTTACATTTCTTTTTTTTTTGGCGAAACCAGGGATTGAACTCAGGCCCTTGAACTTGCCAGGGAAGCGCTTACTCCACTGAGCCATCTCCCCAGCCCAAGAGGTGTTCTTTCTGTATTAGCATTGAAGCTACTGGGAACACCAGTTTGGCCTCTCAGTGGGAGAGGGTTGAGTGGGTAAACCATATGTGGAGGAGGCCTGGCGTTGGTCTCACTGGAGAGAACATGTTGGCTTTGATTTGCTGTGGTTTTCTCATGCAGTATGGGTAGGACTGTGTTGTGCTCAGTTCGCTTCCCATGACTGACTAAATAGTGTGTTGTATGCTTTCAAAGACCACCAGCCCGTCTTCTGGACTGGCCTGAGCTCAGAGAGAACAAAGAAATGGGTGTTGGGGTGAGTGTGGACAGATGATTTACCTCTTCATAGGAATCTTATGATAGAGATAAGTCTGAATAACTAGATGTTCTTTTGGGAAAGTCTACCTAAGGGTTTAATGCGACTGAGCACAAATGTCTTTATTATACTGTGTTTGGCCTAATGCCATCTTATCAGATAAGTTCTGCTCTGGCAGATATCCATTTAAGGAGAAATAAGTTTTAAAAGGCCCCAGAATTTATTAGAGCAACGTAGATTAATGTTTTGTCTACATAGGTTGTTATTTGAATTTTCCTTTTAAAGGTTCATTTCCTTCAGAATTCAGGTTGACTCTAAGCGCAGTACAAATTCCTCTCTGTGGCTGCTTGTGGTTTTGGGTTCACTCCTAGGGCAGATGTGATTTATTTTCTTGTGCTTATTATTAATCCAGAAATGTAATTTCAGCATGAGCTTAGAATAGTGCTTTGGGACATTAAACAGAAGTGAACAATGAAATTTAGGTGAATATAAGTCAAATAAAACTGACCAGATTTTCTCTCAGCTCTCCTTTATAGCATGATGAGCCTGAAGAATTGGTTACGATCCCCACTACTCTCAGTTGCTCCAGTTCCAGTAAGAACTTTTGGCATGAATCAGCGAGTGCAGATGCCAGAGGCGGTGCATGAGCTCCCGTGTCTGGGGTTGGAG